ACCCTGCTCTGAGCGCTCATTTCGAGGAGCCGGACGCCCCACTCTCTTCCACAAGCATGCTGACTCAAGGGGAGAAGGCCGCCGTCGTCACCATCTGGGCCAAGGTGGCCACCCAAGCTGATGCCATTGGGGCCGAGTCCCTGGAGAGGTAAGACACCCGAGGGCTCTGAGGGGCGGCCTCATCCAGCTTTGCTCTGGTGTGAAGTATACTGCTATGTGTAGGAGGTCCCTGTGTGGAACTTGTATGAATGAGATCACACGGTGGTGGGAATGAGGTTCTGGAATCACCTTATCCACCTCCTTATCCCTCTCTGGCTCTGGGCAACTCGCTCTGCCAACGGGATGCAGAGCCCTGCGGGATAAGGGCCGAGGCTGCCTGGCTGCTGAGCGTGTGGTGATGGGGGATCTGGGGCTGCACCATCACATACTGATGAGGAAGGGCTTAGCTCTGCCTTGGAGAACAAGCCTCGGGGCAAGTCCTTTAGAATTCAGCAATTATACAGAAATTCCTGATCAGTTCTATGTTATTTAGTACACAATTCACTGGGATTACATCTTTGCTACTAAACTCTAGCAGATGCTTTCAAAATCTTGTGGCAAGCCATAATTTTCTATTCAGTTCTACAGGTTTCTTTCCATTTATAGCCATTTAGAAGAATTAATAGCCAGGATCACTAAAGAGGAATTCAAAATCACTTATATACCAAGTCCTGGAATGGGGTTATCACTACTAGGAAATGAACTTAAATGGCTTGTTGTGTGAGTAATGTAGTTCCTCTTGCCATATAACAAGCAGAGGACAGCTGTCCAATAAATTAATTGGATAATTACATTTCATTGATCCAGTTGATATATAACAGACTATTAGAAAATAATACAACTGGACTCTGCACAGTGCAGTCACAGTTTACTCTCACAGTAAACAGAACAGGTACTGAAAGAATCCACTCTAAATATATTAGCTTCTTGTTATCACAAGAGGGATGCCCCTTTCAAATAAGCCCAGCTGCTTTTAAGGCTAAGAAATCCCTACTTCTTCCAAAAGAAGTTCACCCAAATTAAGGAGGCTGKCACAAAAGGGAGAATAGTCTGCAAATTGTTCCAAAGCAATTAAGTTAACCCAAGTTATTCAGCTGTTATTTACAGCTCAGTCTGAAGTATTTRAATGCTCTTCAGAGACTCAGAGTGCCACTCGTATTGATTCTGGTTCATTCAGCTCAGATGAGTTTGCAGATCCTTCTAACTGGCTGACAGTGTAATACAAGAAGTACAGGTGACAATTTAGGTGCATTATTATAAAAAATTACTTTTAAAAAGCTTTAGACCACTGGCTAATCTGTACATATTAGAGAAGTGTTTTAAAAGCAGCATCACAGGTCTTCAATACAAGTTTCAAGGCTCCAAAGGTCTTTACAACAGCTGAATGAGTGTCCTGCTACAGCTGGTGGGTGTACATCACACTTGTCCTTCAATTTAGATGCTCCATGAAATATWCACTGCTAAATTTAATTCTCTTCTTCTCCTTCAGGCTTTTCTCCAGCTACCCCCAGACGAAAACCTACTTCCCTCACTTTGATCTCAGCCAAGGCTCTGCTCAGCTCCGTGGTCATGGCTCCAAGGTCATGAACGCTATTGGGGAAGCTGTGAAGAACATTGATGACATCAGGGGCACTTTGGCCAAACTCAGCGAGCTGCATGCTTACATCCTTCGGGTGGACCCTGTCAACTTCAAGGTGAGCAAACACAAACAGACACTTTCAGAGATGAAACCTGCCAGGCACAAAATTAGAGATCAGAGCTAATTTCAGCTAATGACAGCTTAATCCCTGATCACATTTAGAGCCTTGTCAACTCACGTTATTGCTTTGCCATCTGGTTATTATCCTGAGCTTGGATCTTTTCATGGAGGATCTAGTCTAGCACAAGCAAAGAACTATTCAGGGAGCTCTTTAGGCTGAGGTCTGTAACTGATTATAATGGATTTTATCTTGTTTTCCCTTACAGCTGCTTTCCCACTGTATCCTGTGCTCTATCGCTGCCCGCTATCCCACTGAGTTCACCCCAGAAGTTCATGCTGCGTGGGACAAGTTCCTGTCCAGTGTTTCCTTTGTTCTGACTGAGAAGTACAGATAAATGACCTTCACAKAGGGCGAGGGATGCATGTCCACGGCCTGCCACAGCTTCCAGGCTCTCAAATCCTCTATATAGGGTTCAGTCATCTGCAAAACCCAATAAATAATTCAACTGTGAGCAATGGTCTCTGTGTCTTCACCTTCACTTGTTCCACTTACACCTCACTGTTCAGCCAGGGGTACAGGGGTATTCTGACATCCCTACAAAAGATGGAGGGGAAAATGCTAAGCTGTTTAAGTTGATGCTGTCAGGAGGATCTGAATTTTCAGAGTTTCTCCAGAAAGGGGCACCAGTGAAAAATACAGCACTGAGGATCTCCTGGGGGGAACAGAGGGATCATCCTCAGGAACACAATAGTGATTCGTTGGCTGAGGCCCTCCAGTCAACAGCCTGGCTCTCAGATGATAAAAGCTGTGTGAGCTGTATCACTCACATCCTTGTTTCCTCTTCCAAAGATTTTCCAAGACTCTCCATTTACACATTGTTCTCTAAGAAAAACAGTGATTTTTTGAGAAGTCTGAAAATGAAAAGCCTCTTTCTCTGGGGCTGTATTCAGCTACACAGGTTACCCACACACTGTTTGCAGGCCAAAGACTACATTTCTAGGAAGGTTCCCCACACATGTACAACTAACTGAATAGCCAAGGCAGCTTATCACCAAAACACAGAATCATTGAGGCTGGAAGGGACCTTTAGAGATCATCTAGGTGTCCCTGCTGGAGCAGGGAGTTTGGACTAGATGACCTCTAGAGGTCCCTTCCAACCTTAACCATTCTGCGATTCTGCAATTCTGTGATCTAGCTCAACTCTCCTGCACTAACAGGGTCACCTAAAGCCCAGTATTGACTCCAGGTGGATTTTTAATATCTCCAGAAGTGACTTCACAACCCCTCTGACCAACCTATTCCAGGGCTCTCTTACCCTCACAGTCAAGAAGATTTTCCTCAAATTCAGATGGAAACTTGTGTTTCAGTTGGTGGCTTTTGCTTCTTGTGCTGTCGCTGTCCATTACTAAAAACAGTCTGGCACTGTCCTCTTGATACACTCCCTTCAGATATTTGTATACACTGATAAGACCCCCCTCTCAGTCCTCTCTAGGCTAAATAGACCTTGCTTTCTTGGTGTTTCCTCACAAAGGAGATGCTTCAGTCTGCTAATCAGCTTTGTAGCCCTACGYTGGACTCAGTCCAAAAGCTCCATATCTCTTTTGTACTGGGGAGCCCATAACTAGAAGCAGTGCTCCAGGTGCAGCCTCACCAAGGCTGAGCAGAGGAGGAGGAGGATCACAGGATCACCTCCTCAGGATACCATTGACCATCTTGGCTACAAGGGCACACTGCTGGCTCATGGTTAACTTATCTCCCAGGTCCAGCACTCCCAGGTCCTCTTTGGCAGAGCTGCTCTCCAGCAGYTCAAACCCCAACCTGTGCTGGTCCCTACAGTTATTCCTCCAGAGGTGCAAGAACCTGCACTTGCCTTTGTTGAACTTCATGATGTTCCTGTTCACCCACCTCTCCAGCCTSTATYGGTTCCTCTGAAAGGCAGYAYAGCCCTCAATGAGAGGTTGATGTCTAAGGATGAAGTGACATCTATTTATTTTGCTGAGCTATATCTCTGTCCTAGTAGCAAGATATTTTTCAGCTTTCATTCATTGCTCATGTGTGGCTTAAAGGACATTTTCTTACATGAAAAGATGGGTGCAAAGTCTTAGATAAGCCTTGATCAACACGACCAAATTGGTATTGAGTGTTTCAGTTCTCCTTTCGGTTACAAAATAATAACTTTGAGAGTTGTATTCATTCACAGCTCTTGGGAAAGTACAGGCACTCTGTTTAGACAGAAGAAAACACTATTGCTCTAAAGCTACCAAATTGCTCCCAAATCGTTGCGTGAAGTCTRCACTGACATTTGCTGTGGCCAACAACTCTTTAACACATTGTATGTTTTGGGAGTTTCTGGTAATCTGAAYTTTAAAACAATTTATATGGCATGTCAGCCTGTGATATGTCCCCAATCAAATGGCCAAGTGAACACCAATGGATCTTAATGGGGAATGTAAGTGTCAACAAGCACCCCATGCCCTGTGGAAAGTTATTGTGTTTATAGAGATAGGTAGGAACATGCCTTGGGATAGGAACAAGGCAACAGATCATGGCTTGAAAGGTACAAATGTGCCAAAAAACATATGCTGAAAAAGGAGGTCCCCAGAGACTCTGGATATGTCTTTGGAAAAATATTTTTTTCCCACAGCAGATCCCTAGCATTATCTGAGCGGAATTGACGCCAGCTTTTCCACAGCTCCCAGGCTGAGGAGTTGGGAACTGGCTGGCAAAGGCAGCCATGGAAAGCAGGAGATCTGAAGGACTGAAGGTCATGAGAGCCAGGGCCACATGCAAGATCCACCATGACATCGGTGATGAGGAGCCACGGAGAAGCCAGCAAAGCAGGGATACGGCAGCTCTGCGCAGGGATGCCTAGGGAGAGGACAGCCAAGGACTGGACCACAGCTGTCCTGGAGCACCCACCAGAGGTGACCACACTTGCTGACCCACTGCTGGGGGACAGCACTTCCAGGCAACTTCCTATGGTGCCAGCGGGCAGCAGGGCCCAGGTGGGACCCGTCACAGCAGGCCAGGGAGCCGGCAGGAAACTAGCAGGGTCCCCTCAGGGCCGGCCATGTTCCCCCTGGGCCAGACCATGTTCCCCAGGTCCCCACAGAGCCCCACAGCACTAGGCAGCCGCTTCCTGGGCCCGGCGCTGGGTGGCCACGGCCCCCCACAGATAAGATAAGGGCCGAGGGAGGTGCAGGCTGCTGGCCCCATCTATAAGAGGACAGCCTYATGGGTGGCTCCACCACAGAGCCTTGTGCAGCTGTCACAGCGTACCGTGCCATCCTACAGCGCACTGCGCCGCACCGCCAGCCGCCACCATGCTGACTGCTGAGGACAAGAAGCTCATCCAGCAGACCTGGACCAAGGTCCAGGAAGACTTCGGAGGCGAGGCCCTGGAGAGGTGCGGGCTGGGAGCCCCGTGACAAGCTGGGGAGTGCAGGGGTGGAGGACCAGGGGGTCCATGGGGGTGCTGGGAGGAGGCCAGGGCATGCGGATCCTCCATGGGCAATAAGGACCCACCTCAGGGGACATTAGCACTGAGCAGCCTCCCTCCGGCAGGATGTTCATCACCTACCCCCAGACCAAGACCTACTTCCCCCACTTCGACCTGCACCACGGCTCTGAGCAGATCCGCAGCCACGGCAAGAAGGTGGTGAATGCCCTGGGTGTCGCCGTGAAGAGCATGGACAACCTCAGCCAGGCCCTGTCTGAGCTCAGCAACCTRCACGCCTACAACCTGCGTGTGGACCCCGTCAACTTTAAGGTGCGCCGGGGGGCCAGGGCGGGCCAGGGTCGGGACGGGGACCGGGCTGGGGGCTGCTGTGGTCGTGCTGAGCCCTGTGTTTGCCTYGCAGCTGCTGTCGCAGTGCTTCCAGGTGGTGCTGGCTGTGCACCTGGGCAACGACTACACCGCCGAGGTCCACTCCGCCTTCGACAAGTTCCTGTCCGCCGTGGCCTCCGTGCTGGCCGAGAAGTACAGATGAGCCACTCGCGCTGCCGCCAGCCTTGCCTATGTGTTCAATAAAAATACCTTCTGCCACCCCACCGTGTCCGTGTGTGCTGGGGCAGCGCTGACGGCGTGGGGAGAGCCCTTCATGGGTGTCTCTGGGGTGGTGCTGGATGGGGACTATCTCCTGCACACACCAGGGCCCTGTCTGCATGACTCAGGGTCAAGACAGGGGACCCTGGAGTCTGCCCTGTGCCAAAACTCCTCCATTCTGGCCCTGTCCTCAGGCTGGTGGCAGCACCTCTGTGACAGCAGGATGGATCCTGACCTCTCACTTCATTGTGCCCATGTCTTTCGGGGAATGGGACGGGGGAAGGCTGTGCAAAGCTGAGCTTTGTTCTTGGTGATCCCAGGATCTTCTTGGCTTTGGGGYAGGCTCAACCCTCTTGGCTCCAGATTCTGCAGGGAATGCTTAGGACTTGATTCAGACRCTGTAGGAGCCGAGTGCCTGCATGAGCTCCACCAAAGCAGTCAAATTCATACAGCAAAGAAAGAAAAAAGTACTACTGACCATTAAGCACAAACACAATATTTGGCTCCAGACTCTGCACCACAAATTTCTCGTGAGTGCCRAGAAAGTGTCCCCTGCATCTGCCCTGGGCATCTCCCTTGTCAGGGCTTCTGGGGGTGGGAGCAGGGCCAGGCAGGGTCTGCCACGGGGACACTGGTTTCATGTTTCTGGAGTCTGAATCAAAAAACCTCACTTCCTTGATCACAGGGAGGTGATGGGTTAAACCAACCTTCATTTTGCTCTGGATCATGACAAAAGAGGGAGGAAATGAGGGTTTGTGATAGCTGAAAAGGTGGGCTGGGGTTTGGAGTGCAGACAAGGGGTGCCAGATATCCTGGGACTTGGTGCTTGGGACTACAGGCCTGGAGAGCTCCTGGGCCTCTGCCCTTGCGAGTACCCTCAGTAACCCATTGCATTTTCATTCATGCTCAGAAGAATCATCCAAGTCCCACTGGATCTGTGCACATTTACACTCATTTGCTCGTACACCTGCAGTTTGCAAGGCTCTGCCACCTTTGCAGTTTGCCCCTCTGGTGTTTTCACGTGCAGCAAATACGCTGTGTCACYGGCCCGGCTTCTTGGAAGGCGAGCCCCCCTCCTCCTGCGCTCTGAGACACTGCCAGGTCGTGCTAATCTCCCCTGAACATGAACGATAAGAGCCATCATCCCCACAGAGGAAACACAGCGTGAGCTGTCCCCCCACCCCTGTGCACCAGCTCTAGAAACTGCTAGAAGCTCTGCAGCCTTCCTCACCTTCCTCGCCTCCTCATCTTTCTCGTGTGGACCCACGGCTCCTCACCGTCCCCATGGCCTCACGCACCTTCCCTCCCAAGCAGTAGCTCCTACCACAGGCTGGTGCTTGTGTCAGTGCCCAGCACTGACCTCTGCAGCCCAAAGTCCCCCGTTCCCCGGAGCTGGGGGTACCCACTCCCGTGTGGCTGGATGTGGTGGTGTGTGCAGGGGCCAGGACTGGGGCCATGCTGCATGGTAGCGTGTACAGACACTGTGTGTGTGTACAGGCACAGCGTGTGCAGTGACCATGTCGGGTGACAGCGCACATAGGCGCTGCGTGTGTGTACAGGGACAGCGTGTGCACAGTGACCATGTCGGGTGACAGTGCACACAGGTGCTGTGTGTGTGTACAGGGACAGCGTGTGCACAGTGACCATGTCGGGTGACAGCGCACACAGGCGCTGCGTGTGTGTGCAGGGACAGCGTGTGCACAGTGACCATGCGGGTGACAGTGCGCACAGGCGCTGCGTGTGTGTGCAGGGACAGGGCACACATAAGCACTGTGCTGTATGGCAGCACGTACAGGCACTGGATGTGCACAGGGACCATGTGTGCACAGTGCAGTGCCAGGTGACAGTGCACACAGGTGCAGCACGTGTGTACAGGGACCACGCTGCCCACACACAGACACAACACTGTGCCCACCATGAGCTCCAGCACCACCTGGAGCTCCTCAGCACAGGGTTGCAGACCCCAGCCCCAATCCTACCCCTGGACCTGCGCCCCAGGGGCTGGTACCAGTGGCGGCTCTGCTTGGCTGGGCTCCAGCGGGGCCAGGACCGTGGTCGGGGCCAGGACCGGGGCGGGCCAAGTGACGGGTGGGGCCTCTGCACTGCATATAAGGGCGGTGGAGGCCGTGGGGGCCACCGTGCTGGGGGCTGCCAACGCGGAGCTGCAACCATGGTGCTGTCCGCGGGTGACAAGACCAATGTGAAGGGCATCATGAGCAAGATTGGTGGCCATGCTGAGCAGTATGGAGCAGAGACCCTGGAAAGGCAAGTGTCCCTCCCCACCTCTGCCAGTCCCTGCTCTGCTTGCCATCTTTTCTGTCTTGCCTGCTCCCATCTTCTCCCTATCCCTATTCCTACCTCCGTGTAACTCTTGCTTCCTCGCTGTCAGACCCCCCGTCCCTGTCCCCCCAGCCCTGATCCTCTCTGTCTTGCAGGATGTTCACCACCTACCCCCAGACCAAGACCTACTTCCCCCACTTCGATCTGCACCAYGGCTCTGCCCAGATCAAGTCTCATGGCAAGAAGGTGGTGACCGCCCTGATCGAGGCCGCCAACCACATCGACGACATCGCTAGTGCCCTYTCCAAGCTCAGCGACCTCCATGCCCAAAAGCTCCGTGTGGATCCTGTGAACTTCAAAGTGAGTGCTCGGGAAGGGGCAAACCAGCCTGGTGCCCCTCAGCTCCTGTTTCTGTGCCACCCGGCTGCCCTCTCAACTTGTTTGCTCATGATCTCCCTTTGCCTTTCAGCTGCTGGGCCAGTGCTTCCTGGTTGTGGTGGCCATCCATCACCCCTCTGCCCTGACCCCGGAGGTCCACGCTTCCCTGGACAAGTTCCTGTGTGCCGTGGGTACTGTGCTGACTGCCAAATACCGTTAGACAGCACTGATGTTGAAGCTGGACTCGATTCACCACCAGCCCTCCTACAACAAGCAGCCAAATGTTCTGAAATAAAATCTTGCATTTGTGCTCTAGCCCTTGTGTCCTGCTCTTATCACTGTGTGCGGGGAGGGATTGGGGATCGACTGGGTTCTGCTTGGGAGCTCAGTGCCTGTGTGCACCCAGCCCCCTGGTGTCCTCATGCCAGGTGRGCACGCAGAACAGAGAGGCTCCCATACTCCAGCTTTCCTGCTTCTACCTTTGGGTGGTGGTGGTGGTGTCCCTTAGGTGCCACCAGTTGTGAGCTGTGAGGCTCCAGGCACAAGAAGGGCATTTGCAGACACTGGCACATGGGAAAGGGGTCAGTCTGACCCTTCTGACCCTTGGGAAGTCCCTACAGTCCCAGCCTGTCTAGGCTTTTTCTCAGAGCACCCATCTCAACCTTGGGATCTTCCCTTGTTCTGTGGGGGTGGAGAGCCCCCCACACCCCTTACCACAGTCAGCCTGAGCTGCATGCTGAAAGATGGGGCTTGTCCTGCAATGCCCATGGACACCACAGGCCACTGGTGTCTGCAGGCATCCATGACCATCTCCGTGGCAGCACAGCAAGGACTCTGGTGAGTAACAAGCCCTGAAGGCCTCACAGTGCAAGGGTAGCTTTGCGCGCACCTCCGCCACAGCCAGGAATCAGGGCATGTGCAGCACATGCAGAATTTCTTCTCTGTTTCCATCTTTCACTGAATTTCTAGACGACTTCCCTGGCAGAGGATGCATGTGGAGGGGGCCAGCAGGCCCGGGGAGACCAGTGGGCATGGTTTGCCCATGGGGAGCCTTGGGGTACACCTGGTGCAGCCCCAGATCCTGCTCTTTGGGCCAGGAGCCTCATCTGGGAAGGCAGAATCAGGGCAGGAAGGAGAGAGCAGGGTGCAGTGGGGCGCTGGGGGCCCTGAAGCGGCCTGTTCCCTGCTCCACGTTCCCTGCTCCGGGCTCCCGCCCTTATCGCCGCCAGCAGCGGGGCTGGCGGGCAGCGGGGCTGGCGGGGGGCTGCGGGCGGCCGATAAAGGAGCCGTGTGGGCTCCCCTCCAGCGCTGGGTGTGGTGAGAGGCCTCGGCAGCAGATATGCCGGGCGGCTGGACCCCCCTAGGTGCTGAGGAACAGCCCTGCCTCTGCCCGGCGCAGCATGGGGAATGTTTGAGAAGGCCCTGTGTGAAACTACGGGCCAGAGATGGGCTGAGGCTGCCACAGGCCCCATGGTGCCCTGGCACTCATGTGCCACAGGGTCCGCTCCTGAGCTGCAGTGCAGGCACCTTGTAGTCCTGAGCACAGCAGAAGTGCTGCGCGTGTCGCACAGCAGAAGTGTCACACGAGTCTGTGTGCGAAGAAAGGGCTGCCCGAATGTCCTCACATGGCACACGGGCACATGCCGCACGTTCGGTCCGTGGCCCGTGTGCCATGTGAGGACACACGCACGTGTGCCGTGTGAGGGCACAGCCACGCGTGTGCATGCATGCACGAGGGAAGCAGTGCGTRTGCGAGCGATGGGCAGCATGTGCGAAGGGGAGATGCGAGGGTGTGTGCACACATGGGCACGCACGTGCCGAAGGGCCCGTGTGTGCATGGGGGCAATGTGGCACATGGCGTAACGTAGCGGACAGGGTGTACATGGGGACAGCAGCTTGGCAGCTGCCAGGCTGCCTCCCCCAGGCTCTCGCTTCCCGTTGCTCCTCTGCCTTTTTTTGTCCTGGATATCGCCRTGTTCCCCAGCAAGCACTGTGATGGTGGCAGTGCCCTGGCTGCGGCCTAGGACCAAGGTGCTTTCTTAGCTGCCATGCAGAAAGCACAGGGCGCAGATGGAGGAAAGTCTGAGCTCAAGCACTGGGGGTGTTTCAGCCAGACATTTGTCCCTGCTGCCACAAGATGGAGGCCTCAAGCCATGGTGCTTTTATCGGGGCCAGCCAGGCCATGCAGAAGGGCCAAGCTCGGCCCTGGCTGCGGGGCTCAGCTGCTGCCTCTGGCAGGGAATAAATCCACAGGAGCAGGTCCCCAGCAGGCCCTGATGGATCATGGAGCCTTCCTGCCGCAGGACACAGAGCGCCTGAGGGGCCATCCATGCTGAGGCAGACTGCTGCCTGCCTCCAGCCTGGGCTGATGGCTGGGCAGGTAGGGATGGTGGAGGCAGATCGAGCCTTGCACAGCATGGACAGCATTAACCACGGCCTTCCTGCTGTGGAATTGCGTCAAAAGGTTGTCCTGAAGATTGCTGTGAATGGGAATCATCTTGAAGCACCACTTCACCCCAAGATGTTCTGCAAAGAACTTCGGACAGGAAAAGGTATTTAGTAGTGTTAGAAAATAAGAAAGCAATTTAAAAAGTCCAGCTTGGGGCAGACTGCATCGTAAGTGCACAAGTTCACACAGTAACAAACTGTGCAAATGAAGGTTGCCTCCAGTCACACAGGGAAATTAAAGGCTATTCTTGAAAACGATCCTTCCAACTTCGATTGAAGTGGGATTTTCAGTACTCCTGCCTCCTCTGATGTGTCAGAAGGGTATGCGGTATCCTGGGGCTTTGCTTGTGCGTAGGGTTGCACTGGGCAGAGTGTGTGTTCCCCTGGGSTACGGCCTCTGCTCCAGAGCAACCTGTCAAATCTACCAGAAAACTCCATGGACACAAGCATAGCGTATATACATTCACCTTTTCCCATTGGGCTCCATGTGCTGAATGAAGCCTGAAGCTGGTATCAAGTGGGTTTGGCAAGTTAGAGGTTTAYCTAAAATGTCAAGGCTTAGTGGATGGACTCACCATAGGGTGGAAAAGAGTGAGATGGGACACTCAYCCTCAGCAAGTCTAGACCACAAGGAGAGCAGGGCACAACAGTGCCTCCCACAAGAGATGTCAAAACACAAATAGGAGAAGTTGTTTCAGTATGGGCTGATGTTCCCCAGCTGATATGTTCAGACAGCCACAGGAGTCTATCTGCCCCAACTTCTAATAACCACCAGAACATTAAGATGCCCGAACAAGTTGTCAGCAACCCTGCAGGACAACACGGTCCCTAAGTACCTTGGGAGGATGCAGTCTGTGGCTTTCTGTAGATTGTCTCTCCTGGAGCTAATTTTAACTGCTGTACTGCTTTGGGACCTGCAATCAGGGCAGCACTGATTGCCTGAAACAGTTCACGTCATATGATTGCCCTCTTCTTGCCCAGGCTGGTTTTACAGTCTGTGCTGCTGCAGCTCCAGGGGCAGAGGGAGGCAATCTCTGTATAATCACTGGCAGGCTGGAATAGCACCAGGCTATGTGAAGAGGTGGAATTTTGGGGCAGGACCCCATGCCCGAGAGGMAGGGAGTTAATGCAGGCAACTTCACAGTTAAGAAGGAAGTTTAACATCTTCAGGTTAGTCTGCTCTCATGTCTCCATCGTCTGGAGGCCTTTCTCTGCAGTAACCAACCTTTGCTATAAAAGCACAAAACATCTACCTTTCAGAGAGACCCACAGAACAATCTTTTTTTACATGATAGTCACAGAAGAAAGCAATATCCTAGAGCTTATGTTTACTGAAAAGGGAAGTAAAAATGACATCAAGTAAAGAAGTTTGACAGTTTGGTCTTAGCCAATCCACCGCAACAGTTTTACCGCTCTTCTGAGGGTTCACAAACAGCTTTGTCCAGGTGGCTTGGACATTGCTCCTATCAGCATCTGAGAGAAAAAGTCCTGGCCACTAGAGAGTGCCTTTTCTGCAAAAAGGAGAGCTACAAGTGAGGTTATAAGCTGCTGTCTTTGCTTTTAGAAAAAGTCAAGCATCCTAGAGGAGTTTGCCAAGCACTTCCCTTTCAAAATGCATTTTGCCATGTAGCAGAGAATGAAGGGGGTGACACAGAATTCATTTCTTATTGAAAGCTGCTCTCAGGACACCAGCAGGGAGATGCTCTAATTGGAAAGAGATGAAGGAAAATGGTCTCATGCATATGCAAACCATTCTCATGCATATACATCCCACATCGGCATCTAATATGCCAATAGTGCCAACAGCGTTTGGTGCAATCTATCAGCCCTTTGCTGAAAAATAATTTGATATATTTTGTTCTTGGAACAAAACGGTTGTTACTCATCTCTTCCTTTGGTTGACTGTCCCACCATTTTTTGTGAATCAGAGTTGCCTATTTTATAGTTCCTTAGTTTTTTCCTTTTATCCTAATAATGAAAATAGACACTACTGCCTTTCTTCTGCAGCTCCACCATCCTCCACCACTTCTAAAATAAATTGACTGTTTGGAGAAGGTTTCAATCAGCCTTTGAGTTAATGGGGATTTTTTTTTCAGGCCAACAGTTTGAAAACACAGGAATGATTTAAATATGCTTTAATTCGCTCTTTTCAGAATCTATGCACTTTCTCCAATGAATGTTTTGCCAGTTGTGTTAARGGCTTCATCAAAATTGATATTCTAGTGAAGGGTGACTCTGTTTTCTGTGACTACTTTCTTTGCCCACTGAATCAATGCCTTCCTTGTGAGAGGGCATTGATCGTTTTCTTTTTGGCCTTTCCTCATTTTATTTTGGGCCTTTGAGACCCTTGGGAGTTACCTCTTGCTTTGTGCCTTGCTCTTTTGACTGTGTGCCTAAATGCTTGTCCTGTTTTAATATTTGTTGTTAATCAGTTTGCCTCGGCTCCAGTTTGTGGTTCCCTTTTTGTGCCTAAGAAGTACAAATTTACCAGGATAGCTTCTTCCTGCTCTTCCTCTGCATTGGTATTGGTTATACTTGGGCCCTTACATTTTTCTTGTACAGATTTTTTACTACTTCTCAGTTTCTACCAGCAAGACATTTGCAAGACATTTCCTATAGGATCACACACATCAGGCTACTGTGCTTGCTGGACTTTATTGCCTTGCAGTTTGATGCATTTACTCTGTCATTCTCTCTCCGTCCTTTCCCAAAGGCCGGGATTACTCCCAGCTGAGCAGTCACATCAGACAGCAGCAGCTGCACCGCTGTACCCGGCCCGCCAGACACAACGGAGCTGATTCAACTTGCTTTTTTTTTTCCTAAAGTAAAAATAAGCATTAGAGAAAACTGAAACATTTTCTGCTCTC